TTTGTGAGGAATTATCATCATAAAATTGATGCTTAATATATTTTTCTTCGCTTGATTTTTAGGTGTTGTCTTCTCTGGTTATCAAGGTGTTCCCTATACATATGTGGTTCCTTCTGTTGCAACAACACCCTACAATGGAATTAACTATAGGCAAAATGGCGCGGGAGGAAAAGTCCAGAACAGCAAGGTTAGTAATGTTTCCTGATGTTGTAAGTTGCCTTGACAGACAGAACAAAGAATGACAACAAATTTTGCATATCTTATTGTGGAGGCTGAGCATGGTGCATGTTGATAGAGTCAGACTTGGATGAAGACCTTAGTCTTGCTATCCTGAAATTAGTTTTCTTTCTTCCACTTATCAATCCCTTGAACCATGTGATCCTGGATGGTGCCATTTTGTCATCTTAAAATGAAAGAGTGAGCACATTTCAAATGATGCGAGATGTGAAGTCATTTGTCATTAATGAATATCCGGTTGTAAATCACAAGTCACTAATAGGAAAGTAGGCTATTTTAGGTCATTGTGGTCTTTCCTGTGTTTTCATAAAGTAAGCACTTTTGGTGTTTTATGGAACTCTTGACATCTTGCTGAATTGCAATTCTAGTCAAATGGACTGCCCGTTTGCATTTTGGGCAAAAATAAATGTGAATCTCTGATAATTGGGAATATAAGGGGCCACTAGTTTTTTGGAATATGGTTGAGCTGAAGGTAATAAGCTTAGACATGAGAAGTAGGAGTTTCTAGGGGGCATCAAAACTGGGAGAAATTTGCATAATATGTAAGAATAGGAAATATGAAGGTTATTGAGAGAAGTTTATAGACTTTGGAATATCTCGAAAGGAACTTGTAAAATAAAATTTTCTTGCCTATAGAGCTCATTTGGACCTATCAATCATACAAGACAAATAGACAAACTGGGAACCAACTTCAGGCAGGTCAAATTATGGTGTAAATCGTAAATGAAAATACTGGTATCGCACTGGTAGATCCAACTGATACTTTGCATTTTGCTGCAGATGGATTTTGACCAAATTCAGAAGAAACGCTATCCTGGTCCATTTTGTATGGATTGACTGCCCAATAAGTTGAACTGTTCAATGCAATCACATCATAAAATTTGATAAGGACGTAGCTGGTTTGCTTGAATATGCAACCTTCTAAAATTATACGGGTTACAGCTATAACAGAAGTGGTATTTCACTTGGTGTTTGTGCTCTAAAAGAACCTGGAATTCCATTTACAAAATAAACAAAATCAATTGAGCTTCATGCCTAAGGGGTTGTTTACCATATTTGCTCACGCTTTGTGTATGTGTTTAATTCTTCGGACGTTTTTGTTTATCTTTTGCTTTATTATTATTATTTTTTATTTCTTATGATGAGAGATCAAACATACTCTCATGTATGAAAGAATAACAAGTTTAGCCGCCATAAATTTCGATAAATATGGTGGATTTCTTTGTTTCTCTGAACTGATAGGTGCTGTTGCATTGCTTGCCAGGAGGAGCGGAATAACTCACTGACAATTGGTGTTGCAGATGGACATATAGGGCTGGTAGTTGGTCGTGGGGGGAGGAACATAATTGAAATTAGTCAGGTTTTTCGATGGCTGATAGTCTTACTTGGTTCAATATGATTACTTATACAACGCACTAACTTAGACTAATTTGGCTTTTCAGATTAGTGGGGCAAGGATAAAGATATCTGACAGGGGTGATTTCATGACCGGAACAACTGATAGGTATAAAAATGAACTTGCTTTCTCACGATTTTGTATTGGATGACCGAGTCGTTGTTTCTTTTACCAAAGTTTTTCGGACGTGATTTTGCTTCGTCCTTGTTATGCAGGAAAGTTACCATAACAGGATCCCAGAGAGCAATACGCACAGCTGAAGCGATGATAATGCAGAAAGTTGCTTATGCAGCTGAGAGGGCCATGGAGTAGTAGGCAAATACACTTGTAGTGAACCTGCTTGCTTATTGCTTATACATTTGCTGTTTTCTTAGGTTTTTTTCACATAAACTACTTAGTTGATAAGTTGAGATCTGAATATTGTAGTTTGACAGGGAGCAAGATTTTGTTGTTAATTTGTAGGGAGAAAAATACTGCCAGATAAATTGATTGGGGAGGTACACTACTGCTTTTGACCATGTGTAGTAATTAGAAGCATATTCTTTTTGTTACATGTTGTAAGTCAACATTTACTTCATTACCTGGCCTTGAGATAGGATTTGAGAATCCCTGCTCCTTGTTAATGATTTAGGAATTGAGTATTCACTTGTGAGAATACCCCTCCTCATTATTGTTTGGCCTAAATTCTTGTTCTTCTGCCATGGCTTATGAAGATTGCTTATTAGTCCTTCTGCTTCTATGTACAAGTCCCTCCTAATTACCTCACTGAAACAAAAAAAAAAAGGGAGTTAAATTATTGATATTGTAAGAAAAAGAAAGAGATTTCTCAGTTTATACTTATTAAATGCATCATCTTTAAAAACAATTTCCCTCGTTTTTGTAATCTTTTTACTCAGAAAATTGTACAAGGGTAAAATTGGAATAAAGTAATTAATGATTCATCTTTATATGCAATGTGACTTATGAAAAAGATGATCAATGAACTCTAGAATATGATTTGTTTATAAAATGAAGTTGGTATCTTGTTCTTAGATTTTATTTTACTGATCGTATAGCTTTATGTTACATGTGAAAAAGTGAGCCCTTCTGGTCTTGCATTCTTGTCAAGTTCAACTTTTAATATATTCCACAAGCATTTTAAAACTATCCTTGAAAAGTAAAAACAATTTTCAAAAACTCATTTGGGGCCTGTTTGGATATTCTTTAAAATTAATTATTGGTTCAAAATCATAATTTTGAAAAAAGTTGTCCAAACACTCCCAAGTCTTCATTTTTACAAACTCTATTTAGTTTTTGAAATTTCATTTCGTAAAAGCTAACCAAACATGCCCAATTTTTTCAAACTTTTTTTGGTGCTTGAAACTCCAATTTGTAAAGGCTAAATTTTTCTCCATTTGATAAATCAATTTTAAAAATCTTATTCAAACACCATCAATTTTTTTCATAATTAGTTTTCTCCAATTGAAATCAAACACACCGTGGTTTTGTTCGTGTAAGTATTTGATTGAAATGAATCAGCTGGGTATGAATGTCAGATAAGATCCTAACGAGCTTCTAACTTTTTTTAAAATATATGATTATTTAATTGATAATGTCATGATGAGTGGATTGGATGATTTTCAATTGCCCCTTTTATTACAGCATCATTAAACAAATTACGGGTGAATGTCACAAGGATAGTGGAAAAAATTATCTTAAGGGACCATGAATTTATAAAAAATACAGAGAATTAAGGATGAAAATTCTGTTGTGCTGGTGGCAAATATATAGCTCTGGAAGTTGCAGAAGATATTATGTTGTAAATCTTGAAAAAACAGTCGTAGATCAATTATAGAGTAAATTGTAGATTGTCTGTAAATTAATTATAAATATTACAAATTTAGTTGCAAATTCTGAAAGATTAATTGCAGATTATGTAAGGTTATGAGTTTATTACTGATATAATACAATTATTCTATATTATTAGTTTACATTTGATAATCTTATTTGCTAAAATATACTCTTAATCCTCTAATTTTATATTAAATTTTAATTTGATCCTTTAATTTTATAAAGTATATTTTCAGTGTTTTTTACTCTAATAACGTTAGTTTCAAATAATTTTTGTGTGTGTCAATATTGTTATTTTTTTCAAAAAATAAACTTAATATGTTAATATTTAAAAATTAAATGTAGAAATTTTTTATACAAGAAACTAATAATATTAACATTAAAAAATTAAAAAGATACTTTATAAAATTAAATTATTAAAATGAAATTTTAAATAAAATTAAATCACTGAAGATACACTTTAACCCTCTATGTTATTGTAATATACTCCTATCATAATTAAAATACATGACATTTCATGGAATCTTCTCTCTGTCCTTAATTATTTCATCCTGTTGGAAATCACATCATATTCGATACAAGTGCATATGTAAAGCTACCACCAGCTTAACACGTAACAATGAGAGAACATTCTCTTAAGGATAAAAAGGGCAATATACGTCTAGATTTAAAATTATGTCAGGATGCGTCTATTAATTAAATTTTTATTTATATAGGCCAAGAAAAAGATTACTATTAACTAATAGCCTCACCTGTTTAAGTTTCTCTCAATTACTTCAAGGGAATTGAGAAAGGTTAGCTAACTCATTACATTTGTCTTGATATTAAAACATATTTCAACTTTGCCTAATAAGATGTGAAAACACAATATTTGAGGAGTCATATAGAAACATTAAATTAGAATTAAATTTAAAATATTAATTAATAATTTCCATGACTTATATAAAAGATCAAGATTTTTTTTTTTCTAAAAAAGAAGTCCTTTATAGAGAGAGAGCCAAGTAATAAGCCATCAGAACTATAACCAAACAATCATTAAGTCATAATATATATAATCAGTCACTAACAAGACAAATCCCCCCTCCAAAGAAAAGAAAAAAAAAACGTACACACACACACACACAAAAAAACAAAAACAAACATAAGACTCTTAAATAACAAGTAATTAAATTGAAAAGAGGTACTAAAAGAAATTGATAACACTTAAATGATGATGAACAGTGAGTAGTAGGTGACCTATCAAAATGAAGCTGCTATTATATACAAGTGCCACACTTTTCAGAGTCACTCGAGATTTAGCTTTACAATGCCTATTTATAGAGGCTTTTATTATTGTGATCACCTTGGCACCATACGACAGTGATAAATAATCGATTACCCACTTTCTTGGAATAATAATTATGTTGAAGAAGCTCATGACACAGGTACTTTAATTTTCACAAAAAAAGACTTTAAATGAAGCTTCCTATATATATATATATATATATATGGAACTCATTTTCATTGTTGGTGTCTCATTTTCATCGTGTTCTTAGAAATGGCGAGATCCAAAGTCTTAGGGTTTGTGTTCACTGTACTGCTCATTCTTGACTTGGCAGTCGTTGCTACGTCCAGGAGAGGAAAATCATCACGTGGCCGTTCAGGTTGTAAAAACGGCGGATTTAGTGGAGGAAGAGGCAGTGGCAGTAATGGTGGCGGTGGTGGAGGCGGCGGCGGAGGCGGAGGCGGAGGCGGAGGATTCGACGGGTCTGGATTCAGGGTTGAGAGCGCAGATGGAAGCGGTGATGAATCTGGTAATTATAAAAAAGTCAAAGGCAAACAAAATGGTAATGGAGGCTTTTAAATGAGAAGTGAAGCTTATTCCCAGCAGCTCTGATAGACGCAGGCATGGGATCTCTATAGTATTCTAAATTTTCAGTTGTGTTTATTTTTTTATTATTAGATTTTATATAAATTATAAGAGACATTTTGATATTTTATCATGATGAAATGTTATAAATTTGTATTTTTATGATTTTTATTAAAAATATTATCATTTCATTATCTACAAGATATAAAAATGTTTTTTATTTTATATAAAATTTAATAATATAAAAAAAGCAATTAAAAAGTTAAAACATTACAAAGACATTAGAGAACAAAGTATTAGAGGCTATAGCCCAAATAAACATAAATGCAAAAGTCTTGGGAAAAATTGGGGTGATAAAATAAGACGGAATGTGGAATATATTATTATATGTAATATATTCTCTTAAAATAAATTGCAGCTTGTAGCTCTAGGTTCATGTAAGTATATGTGCATGGTAAGTGGTGACGTTGACTTGCATATTGTAGCTTTCTCGTAAATAAATATTCCTTCTATTAAAAAAGTATAAAATATTTTTAATTTTTTAAAATATAATGATTGTCTTTTTTAAAAAAATATTTTTATTAATGAATGACTTTATATATATTATAGAGTATTTAATAAAAATAAATATAAAAATATAAAATTAATTTAAAAATAAATAATTATTTTATTGAGGGATAAAATTTAATTAAAAATAATTTATATTTTTTAATAAAAAGAGTCTGTAAAAGACATTTTGGTGTACCTGTGAGAACACTATTGTTAATACTGATCGCACGTAATAAAGGTTCTGGTCAATTTAAATGAAAGGTGATAACATTTCAAGATTTTTTAAGATTCCGAATGGAAAAAATTTTTTAAAAAAAGAAATGCAATATGACTCATGTTGTTAACAAAAATTTAATTTTAACTATTAATTGATTAAAAAATAATATAAAAAATTACAAAAAAAAACCAAAAAAATTACAATAAATGAACCTAAAAATTATAGAAGATAACTCAAAAAATTATAGAAAATGATCAATTATAAAAATAAATTACACATTTGTAATTTTTGAGATCTTAGAATTTTTTAATTAACTAATGATTAAAATCAATTTTAATTAATGGTAGGAGCTAGATTGCAACATTTTCAAAAGTTGAGGAAAATTTTTTCATAATAAATAAGTTTAATGTTTATGGTATTACTAGGTCTAAAATTCAAGAGACAATATCCTTATATATCCTATATTATACAATATAATTATATGTTATAATATATTAATCACGCGTTTCTTTAAATGGTCAAATTATTAATTAGAAGAGTAGAAGGTCTAACAGGACTCCATACATATGCCGTCAATTATCATTGCATATGGAACATATATAAATCATAATATGAGATCATTTACATGTCACTTTATATTTTGAATTTTATAATTAATCTAGACATCCTAACAATAGTTAATAATGTGAAATCAGGAATGTGTTTGGAACCACATTGGTTGGGTCAAAATCACATTTTGGTAAAAACAATGTAAAAATGGCGCTTTTACAGATGCGTTTTGACCAACCAACGTGATTCTAAACATCCATGCGGTTGGATTCAAATGCACAATTACACACGCGCACACAGAGTAGAAACTCCATTTGATTTTTTTTTTTTAACCACAAATAATTTGACAACTGGTCTAATACCGTCTAACATCACATGAATCAAACTTCTTAAATCATAACACTGTTTACAATTTAAAATAATCAATAAGGCTTTCTTAAAACATTATTAAATAATAGTAGATTGATAGACAGTGGATTAGATATATTTTTCCCATGTGCATAATAATTTAGAAGTTTTCAAAGGATTGTACTCCTTTTTTTCTGGATAATAAGATGGGATCATTGGCAATGGGCTCATTTACATTTTGTGGGCCTTGGAAACTGGGCCAAACTTGGCGATGATGGGCCAAGCATTTGCTTTCTGGGCCGACTGAAGAAGGGCTCAACACTTGGTATAAAAATACGGACTCTATTTTGTTTTACCAACTTTAAATTTTTTTTCTATGTTATGTACGTGTGTGCTTGTGCTTGTGAGAGAGAGAGGAGGGGGGGAGATCAAACGGATTTAAAATTTTTAAAATAATAAATAGATATGATATAAAAATTCATAATTAATATGGTAGTACAAATCTTCAATGTTCAATATGAAATATTAAACTTAAAGCAAACTATTATGTTCGTAAAATATAAACTTCATTTCTCAAATTTCGTCTACTATTGTTATAACATGATCACAGGGGTGGAGAGGGAGGAATCAGCAAGAGCCACAATTCCCTTAACTTTTTATATTTTTCTTACTAAAATATATGAATTATATATTTTTGACTCTTGATATATTATAAAAGTTATAAAATATTAAATAAAAATTTTATTTTAATTCTAAATGTAGTTTTTTACGTATGCATAAAGAAACTATTTCAATATTTTAAAGATATGGTTATTATATAATATACTTATTTTTAATAAAATGATATTATACATACTTTTAAAGTATTAATATTATTTTATTTTACTTTCATTTTATATTTAATGAAGTAAATTATGAGAATTATTATTAACAAACTGTTATTAAGCATTGCAACAATAATTTCAAGATATATTGAATGCTATATGGTAGATATCTGTTATAAAATTACTTATCCAAAAGTTAAGAGATTTGGTGAAGATATTCTTTTAAAAAAATTAATTTTTTTAAATAATTAAACTATTAAAATTTATAATATGAATGGTTTTTACTCTGATATAATTCGATCTTATTAACATAAAGATTTTATGATAATTGAATATTATTAATGTATTGATATATTTATTTACTACCATTATTAATTGAAATAATTAAATAATAAATTCAATAAGTAAGTAATAGAATTTATTACATTAAATAGAATTTTAGATTCCAATGATATATTTAAATTATTTAATATTCATGGGGATGATACGATTTTTACTAACTTAATGATAATTTATATTGAGAAAAAAATTCCTAAAACATTTATCATAGACATGATAACTAATTATTTTTATACCAAAAAAAATGAATGAACAAAACTTAAAATATATATATATATATATATATGTATAATTGAATATAAATATATATGTTAAAATATTTATGTTATGTCAGTGATATATATATATATATATTTAACTTTTTTTTAATTATCATATATACTTTATCATCTCAATTTTCTTAATAAAAATTTCTAACTCCTTTCCTAATGGTGAGGCCCTGTTACTCTATGGCTTTCATACTTGTATGTGTGTATGGGCCTAAAATGAATATTCCATTTTTTTTAAAAAAATAGCATTGTTTATTGATTTCAAAGGAATGTGCATATAAAAAATGTAATGTCTATAAATCTGAACCATCTCGCTTTGAAATTTTCAAAATCTGTATTAATTATAATTGGTAATTGCTATATCATCAATCTAACATTTTAGATTATTTATTTTATAGATTTGCAATCCAAACAAAACGGAGAAAACATAGTTATTACATCTCTGTAAATTAAGGGGAAAACAATACAATAACTCAAACTAATTAAATAGTTATAAATTGTAATTGAGACACCAGTGAATGTTGACCTTAACAAAAGGGGCTGGGCTTCAGTATGTATGATAGCTTATATTTGAGTTCGTCTGTACACAAAAGACTCTACTTTTGGAGATCATATCAATCACTCCCATTTGATGTTCAAATGGAATCCAATATGTGTGCTTCTAATTAACACTTGCTAGGTTGCTAAGAAAACAGATATTAATAAAGGACAAGTGAATATTATATTTCAAATTGAGTAGATGTAAATTCTTGAGATAATACAACTTTTAATTTCTAAACCCTCTCTCAATTATTTAGTTTTTAGAATTTTGACTCAGTGCAAGCAATCAATCCTTATAATTTATTAAGTTAAAGAATTATAAAAATTGGATTATCTCAAATCAAAAAATTATATGAAGTTTAAGTAGTTTTGATTCAAATTAAGTTAAGAGACGAAATCGGTAACCGAAAAAAAGTTAGGGACTAATAGTTATATTTTCTTTAAATTCTTTTTTGGCCAAGAGCATATGTAAGACTAAATTCGATGTCTGTTACTTTTATATATTCATAATTAAGATCCAAACGTCTTATATTCATCTGTCTCTGAAATTAAATAATGTTAATTTTGAAAGAAAACGGCAAGCAGCTAAATTTAGTTTAAAGTGACTTTTGTACGTTAACATATTGGCAAAACCTGAAAGTACATCAATGGCCTTATCATTTCCCAGACAAAATTATTTTCATACTTTGGACGATACTAATTACCTGCAACAGGTTAAAATTTCATTTTAAATGAAACTATATATTTTAGCATAAAATTCCGAACTTGCCAATGATTAATCCGTGTCTAACTATCTATCAACAATTTTCTTGTACCTAATATTTTAATAAGTGTTTGCTACAGATTATGACTATTCGTCTATATTACTTATATTCCTAATATAAAGCAGCAGTCTAAAACTATGGGAATTCCATTGCACAAAGAAATAAATAGAGATAATAAGAAGATGAAAGTCACGTATGACTAACCACAAACAAACCAGAAGCACCGCCATTAATATGCATCTTAATTTCTGGATATGGATTCAATGAGTATTCCAAATCCTCTTATCCAGTGAGTGTCCACACTATACAGCCACATGATTTCATCAACCTTGAAAATTCATACTTGACCGTAAATAAACAATACAGTGAGTTAAATGGCAATTATATGAGAATGCATATATTTCAACCATCTCTTTGTGATCAACGGATTAAGGTATAAGATACACAATAAAAGGCAAGGCTATGATGTTATTGGCCCTGTATTTTAGACCTACATCACTCTGGCAATCATTTGACAGAATCAACAATCTATTCTTTATGAGAAATTCTAATTGCAGTATGTCTAATTAGAATATCCAAAGTAATCTAAATAAAATCTTATGTGACATTATTTTAATTAATTTTATTCTAATAATATAATTCATATTTAATTTATTGCCTTTTCTCTCTTTATTATCATTAATCTGATAATAAACATGGTGTACTCAGTTACTTAAGAATTTCTCCAATCTTTATATGCCACATGAGATATTCACAAGTTGAGAATTTGAGGCACTGACCGAATCCGGATCATTAATTTCTTTAATATATATTATGATGGTTAATACTTTGATGAACAGTAGTAAGAAGCAGTAGGTGACATATCAGAAAGAACATACTCCAATATTATATTATCTAACTACTCATCTCAGTTAATATTGAGCTTTACCCTGTCTATTTATAGAGGGCCTTACCTTTCTCTTGTATTGTCACAAATACCACAAAACAGAAATTATCCACAGATAATTAAATTGTTAATTTAGTCACTCTTTTAATTAGTCATCTCATTTTTATAAATAATAGAGCTAAAGTCTGCTATATATATGGGACTCAAGCTTCATGCATTTCATCGCTCCCTTCATCCCACATTGAGTTTGAGCTTTCGGCTGTGTACACGCTTCAAAATGGCCACATCCAAAGTCATAGGGTTCGTGTTCATCGCTTTGCTGATTCTGGACGTGGCATTTGCTTTTAGGTCATCGCAAAAATTACAGCCATCGGACGACGACAATGATGATTCCAGTGACGACAGAGGGTCAGCTGACAACGGCAATGGGTCATCCGACGATGATAATAACGGTGATCAGTCCTGTGATGGGTGCGAATGCAATAATGGAGATGGTAAAAACGATGATTGTGGAAATAGCAGCGCCGGAGGAGGAGGAGGTGGTGGGGAGGAGGAGGATCAAATGGAGGAGGAGGAGGCGGCGGCGGCGGCGGAGGTGGCGGCGGAAGCAACAGCAACAACGGAAGGTTTGGATATGGTAATGGAAACGACAAAGATAATGGAACAGGTGACGAAGACCCACCACTTGTGTGAGGGATCATGTTGTGTATGCATGGGTCAAGTGGTTCCATGAATAAATTGATATTGATGCATATGTAATATATAAATATATATATATATATATATATTATATGTCATATATATATATATATATATATTAAAAAATAAATTGCAGTGAGTTCATCGGCTCCCTGCTCCATGCACGCACCCACCTTTGGTAATTGGTGATGTGGATATGTAATATTATTCATAAAATATCAGTAATTTTACAATTGAAACATGAAAGTAACGCTTTTGTCCGAGATACTTATATTAATTTTTTTATTTTTGTTACATATGTGTCAGATACTGTACTCCCTCCTGTTGCTAATATAAGATAAATTGTATTAATTATTCATCAATGAAAGGTAAACTTAAAAGAATAAAATAAAATAAAACGTTTCGGAGATGTTAATTCTAATAATAACCCCATGCTAATTCGTGTTAAGCTATTTTCTAGATTAATTAGTCATGTGTGCTCGAGATCAGTAATTCTCAATTTATTTATATGAAGAATGGACTTCCAGTCAAATAAGTATGTATGAATCAATTTAAATTAGCATCAGTTGCAAAAACTCTCATTTATTTTCTTTATATTCAAAAGATGAACCTGTAATGATGGGACGTGAAGTCGGAACAGTATGTACATCAAGCTACAGTATGCACATAAAGTTGCCAATTGAATGTTGAAAAAATAACAATAATTTATTTCTTATAAATTAATAACTCGAATGTGATAAAAGATTACTAATGTTTGCTGCCGTAGAACCTTTAACTTCCCAGAAGCCACTACCTCCAAAATAAATAAGGGGGAAAAAAATCACTGTTGAGTCCCACATAAAAATTCTAATCACTCAAATGTCCCACAAAATAGATCAATGATTTTGAAGTTCCAACGATTTTGGTGTTTTATTTGATCCAATAAGAATATATAATTTTGGTGTTAGATTTGATTTATGCCAAGTGGATACACAAACACGCATGATGTAATTCACAGCGTATATGCGAAACCTTGATTATTTTTAATTTTATTTCATTAATATTTTATATTATTCTTTATGGATTGATGTTTTCAATCAACTTCTTCATCGACCTTGCATCTCCTAGTGCTATATGCTTATCTTGTCATTATTTAGAGAGAGAATGACAATTATGACCCAAAGGAATGAATTCACAACAGTCAGGTCTTGGGCAAAATTTTTTGTAAAATAAATTATAAATATTACTTCCTTTGTCCCATATTATAAGATATTTTTAGACAAAATCTCACATATCAATAAATCTCATTAAATACACTTAACAACCTTATCTTTCCCAAACAAAATATAAACTTTCAAAAATGTCCATCATTTAATATATTGAAAAGAGAAGAGATAAAAATTAATTATAAAGAGAAAAAGGATAATATAAAAATCGATGCATTTAATAAAACCTTAATTTACTCAAAGTGTCTTATATTTTGTCTTATATTTTGAGATAGAAATACTTTTTCAAAAGTACCCTATAATTTAGGATAGAGGAAGTAATTCAAACAATTACAAACAAAAAATTTTATTACAAGTTAAGAGTTATATTTGATATTTATAATTAAAACTCTTAAATTTATAATAATTCAAATCAATATTTTTAACTTATTTTTTTAAAAAATTTATTGAGAAATTAACTATCGTTAATTTAATATTTTAGGACCTAATTGTTATTCTTCTTTATTTATAACTTGCGGATGAATTTTTTTTAATGTGCCAAAGGACAAAAATATCTTAAAATTTTCTCATGAGAAGCAATTCTTATTTTTTTTTGAAGCAATATCGCTTTAGAATTTTAAAAAACAGTTCAAGTATATTCCATTGTTAACTTTAAAAGAGGGAAAGTCACAATCAAGGACTTTGAAGATAATTAATTACGACCAAAATTTTAATATTATTGTGCAGGACCAAAAAACCTAAATGTAATTAAAATTTGTTATGAAAAGATAAAATTATTTTTGATGTATTTTTGTTGTGATGAGGGAATTGATTGTCATTGAAATAGGAATAAGACTCATTTTTTCCCCTTGAATGGAGCCCTTGTTCATTAGATTATGATAATTTCTCTATCAAATTAATAGTTTATATTTATTAATGAAAGAATTGATTGTTTTTAGAATAAAAATAAGATTTATTTTTTCTTGAATAAAAACTTGTTACATTGAATCAGAACAGTTGTTACTCTCTACCACCAAGTTAAATTTTTATTTATAAGAAAATTGATTGTTGTTAAATAAAATTTTTATTTAACTCAGTCCCTCGACTTTGATTTGTTATAGTTTAATCTTTAAAGTTTTAACTTAGTTATAAATTAATCCCTAACTTTGACTTTTGTAAGTTAATCCTTGAAATTTCAACCTTTTAAATATTAGTTCCTATATTTTAAAAATAAAATTATAAAAGCTAAAAATATTTTAAACTTTAATATTTATAATATTTATGAAAATTAAAAGGGTTTAATGATTTAAAATATTAGTGATAAATTTTAAATATTTTAAATCTTTATAAGTTTGAAATATTTTTAGCTTTTATAATTTTATTTTTTAAAATATAGGTCAATATTTAAGAGGTTAAAATTTTAAAAACTTAAATTATAAGAGACAAAGTTCAAGGACTGATTTACAACTGAATCAAAACTTCAAAAATTGAGTTATAACGAGTCAAAATTTAAAATTGAGTTACATTTAAGTCAAAATTATAAAAATTAAGTGATTAATTTTTCTAAGTATATGAAATACATATGAAGAGTGTTTTTATTTTTTTAGTATTTTAGTCTCGCAAAATAATATTAAAATTATTTAATCTTGAAATGTAATTAATTGTCTCTAAAGCCCTTGATTTTCCATTTAAAAAACGTTGACAGTTAAAAAGTTTGGATCCTTTGACAAAAAGATTGACACGTGTTATATGCTGAATGGTCTTCTTTTTCCTCAGGAGCGCGCACCCATGGAATTTACAATCTTTTTTGGGGGAAAAAAAGAGACAAGAAAATTCAGCAAACAAGAAATAGATGATACAGTAAAGTCCCTTTAAAAAAAAAAAAAAAGGAAGGCGCGTACTTCGAGCTATAACAATAGCAAGTTTTAAAATCGTCTACGCGAATTGGCAGCATGAAAAATCAAGGAAGACAGAGAGACATAATGACTGCATCTGGGCGAAATAGTAACGAGCAGAGCAGGCAAGCTATCACAAAACTAAGCAAACAACTGGATCATTTAAAACCTAAAACACACTTGGGCTTGGCCCATATGAGCTAGGTCAGCATCATTTCCTAGCTTTTCTTATCAAAGAGCTTCAAGTCTGGCCATTCAAGTAGGTTTTTAATTAAGTTTGGTTTAGAATCTCTCCTTCTTCTTATCATTTAATTAGTAATGATAAGGAAAATAGGTGTGGCAGATGTGAGTAAATATCTCAAATGTACAAACTCAAAAAAAGAATCTCTCCTATTTCATACTGCTACTAAAATACACTACAACATTTAAATTTTTTTAGTTTGTACATTTGAGATATTTACTCACACGTGCCACCTTTTTTCCTTATCATCAAGGATCTCAATTGCATTAGGGAAGCTAAAGAGAGATTGCACAGGAGACAATTTTCATTTTCCTTTCTTTAAGTTAGGTTATGTTAAGAATGAGGAGCAAACACTTGGAAATGAAAGAAATAACAAATGGGCAAGTGAAGTGAAATAACACACATCTTAATTCAAAATCTTATGACTTTAGTTTATACTAATCGTTATCCTTCGGCTCTTGCAATTAGGGCCAACCCAATAAATGGGCAAGAAAAATAGAAGGACATAACATCTTATATACTAATCATAATGGATAACATAATTATTAGTCCCTATAATTTTATCAAATTTTACTTTTAGTCCTTATAGTTTTTTTTCAGTTCTCATAAGGATTAAAAACTGAAAATTATAGGGACTTGAGTAACAAATATCACTCATTTTTATTGAAACTATAGAGATTGAAAACACTAAAAAAATTATAGAGATTGAAACTATAGGGATTAATGATTATATTTTTTCTATTTATTAAGTCCAACCTTTTTTGACGTGAGACTTCTCATATCAATTCAAGTCACTTACTTTTGGACAATCTAACTATAGGTTAATTGAGCTTATAATCTAACAGGTCAAACTCAAGCTTGAGCTTACAATGCAGGCATATTCCAATTTAGAAGCTTAACCTAATCTAATTATCCTATTTCTATTTAACCCTAATGAGCTTCGGAAACTCAACATATGTGAATTTTTCCTTATAAAAATGGAATTAAAAAGAATTGACAATCTATCAAGTAAACTTCTATATATCTCTACCAGAAATAAGTAATAAGCTATTAGTCTAATTTCTTGGGAATTGCATTATACAAAGAAATGAATAAAGATATATAAGAAGATGACGCTCACGTATCACCAACCACAATAGATCAGAAAAGCACTACCATCAACTAACATGCACCTTAGGTTCTTTCATATATACGTATTATGACGATGAACGTAACGGTAAGTAATACGTACGACTCAGTAGGTGACACATCAGAGGGAAGATACTCCAATATTATACATTAGCTAACTCCTCACACTCACTCGGTGTTTAGCTATACAATGCCTATTTATAGAGTCTCTTACCTTTCTCTTGAGTTATCACAAATACGACAAAACAGAATCTATCCAAAGATAAAGTTGTTAATTTCGTCACTCTCTTAATTAATCATCGATCTCATTATCAAAAATTTACTTACTTATGTGATGATTATCTCAAAGAAGGTCATATAACGAGCTGTTTTAAACGACTACATTTTCATCGTTCCTCTCTATATATATGGGTCTCAAGCTTTTTGCATTTCATCGGTTCCTCACATATCACTTTGGGTTTGAGCTTTTGGCTGTGTACTTCAAGATGGCCAAATCCAAAGTCATAGGGTTTGTGTGCATTGCTTTGCTGATTTTGGACGTGGCATTTGCTTCTAGGCCATCTCCAAAATTACGATCATCGGATGACAGTGATTCCGGTTACACATTGTCCCTCAACGGCGAAAACAACAATGGCAACGGCAACAATGGCAGCAACAACGGCAACAACAACAACAACAACAACAACAACAACAACAATAACAATAACAACAACAACAATGGCGATAATGACAAGGACAAGGGCGACAACAACGGGAAGGACAACGGCGACAACGGCAACGGCGACAACGGCAACGACAATGACAACGGCCAATGTGATGAGCCGTCGTCAGGCAATGGCAATGGAAACGGGACCAGTAACGGCAACAGCAACTGCAATGACAACGGCCAATGTGATGAGTCGTCGTCAGGCAATGGCAATGGAAACGGGACCAGTAACGACAACGGCAACTGCAATGACAACGGCCAATCTGATGAGCCGTCGTCAGGCAATGGCAATGGAAACGGGACCAGTAACGACAACGGCAATGACAACGGCCAATCTGATGAGCCATCGTCAGGCAATGGCAATGGAAACGGGACCAGTAACGGCAACGGCAATGACAACGGCCAATCTGATGAGCCGTCGTCGGGCAACGGCAATGGAAACGGGACCAGTGACGGGAATGGAAATGGGACCTGTAACGGCTCGTCCAAAGACGATGAGTCAGGCGGTTGTGAAGGAGATGGAAAAGATGATTCTGGAAATGAGTCTTCTGGAGCTGCTGGTGGTGGTGGAGGAGGAGGAGGAGGAGGAGGAGGAGGAGGCGGCGGCGGCGGTGGTGGAGAAGGGGAATTTGGCAGTGGTAATGGCAATGGATCAGGATCAGGAAATAATGGAGGAGGAGGAGGAGGAGGCGGCGGATCCAACAGCTTCGGGAGTGGATCTGGAAGTGGTAATGGCAACGGTGGTGATGAAAATGGTCAGCACAAGTAAGGAAATAGGGTTCCATCCTTGGTCCAAGATATACATATGGGTCAAGTGGTATTACAACATAAATAAAGTGATGGCGATGCATGCTTGTAATGTATATTATATGATATAATACATATTGAAAAATAAAGTGCAGTGAGTTCAGCTCCTGCCCCATGCACGTACGCATGCATGGGTTTGCTGTGATATTGTAATTCATAATATATCAATGAATATTTATTATTGAAAGCAATGTTTGTGTGGGATATCGATGTTATTATAATAATATTAAAATATTTTTCATTTGTGTTAAGCGGTAATAATGTTATTTATATATTAATCACTCTGTTCATATATTGTCGTTTATGAAAAGAAATGTGAAGTCTTCTATTTATCTTTTTTTTTAAAAAAAAAATTGACCCAAGAATTTCATGTGTGATTTTATGTTGGAATCTGTTATAGAATTCATTAATTTTTTTTTTTAAAATCTGTCATGAAAATTATTGACGTTTTCAATCTTCTTCACTTGTGCTATACTTATTATGCTTATGTAATAAGTTCTTCCATAGATTATTTTCTGTTTGTGATTTCGACAGCAATCTTTCAGATTTTAATCTTGTAATTGTGCAGTTTTGAAAAAGACAGAAGAACTAGATCTGTAGTCTAATATGCTGCTTGCGTTGTAAAATAAAATTATGATTACCAATACAATTTATGAAAATAGTGACTTGTCTTATTAATTTAAGTATGAGATATATTTATATAAGAAAAAAGATCTATTAAGATTTATTAGAGAATAAAATAAAAATTTATCAAGAAATAAAACAATAACAGAAAATAAAATAGTTATAACTAAATTAGTTATAATCAATCTAACTACACAGAATAAAATATATTAAAAAATATAATATTGTCATATGTTAATCACTCTAGCAAAAATAAAAAAATAAAATTATGATTATGTAATAATAAATATGAAAATCAATTTTGTTATTCTCACAGATGAAATAATATCTTTAATCCTTTGTAAAATTATGTCTCATTCTATAAAGGATCTTAAATGGAAATAGTTATATATCAAACCTTATATACTCTCTCTATTAAAAAAGAATTAAAGGGCTAAAATACTTTAAAAATTTTTTATGAGAGACATCTGATATTGTAAATTTTTTATTAAAGCAATATTGTTATAAAACTTAAAAAAAGAGTACAATTTTACTCTAGTAGTTTATCTACAGTCAATTGACTCTTAAATATTTTCATTGACCAATCAAGTTACAGTTGTTATTCTCAAATTTCTTCTTCTCTCTCTTCTACATGGCAAATGAAAATTCTTGTGATCGCATGGCCTGAATGTGCAGTCGTGAATACTGAATACCCAGTAACTATACAGTCTACAAAGCTCTTAGGCAAAGATAGCCACCGCTATGTCTACAAAGCCGTTCATCGAAGCCGTCCCGTCGCCATCAAGAGGCTGGCGAGGGCTCATGGTGCTGTTTGTTCTTCGACGACCCAGTTCATTGTTTTATTCGTCGGCGCCGAAGATTACGAACGAGGTGGATAATGAGATCGACATCTTGCCGAAAATTCAGAGCCCCATTTTGTTTTGAATGTCTAGAAGTGGAAAACACTTTGACTGCTGAGTAGCTGGAAGAAAAAGAGCGCCTACTAGAGGAGGTAAGTGTATTCTCTCAATGAACTAGATTTCAGCATCAGACTCCGTTTAACTTGGTTATCTGGTGAACTAGAGGGATTTTCATCATGGAGCCAAAGGGATTTTAACACTTTCATCAGGGCATGTGAAAACTATGGTTGAAATGATATAAAAAATATTGCTTTTGAGATGGAAGGTAAAAAAGAGGAGGAAGTTGAAAGATGTGTAAAGGTCTTCAAAGAGAGATATACAAAGAATTAAATGGTGCATAAAGGTATTATTAAGGTCAAAAAGTGAGAACTGATTATCTAAGCTACTTCCATTTGTTTATACGATAATCCTTAACATGTTTAAATGAGGTTTTGTCTCTGCAAATCAACTTTTTTGCTTCATTTTTCAATCGTTCTTTTCAATATATCTTTTGTTAAGTGAAGCACGAAATTAATAATATTAATGTTTTTAACTAGTTGGTTTTAAACTGATACCTGTAGATTAATATTAAATTATTAAGAATACTGAAAGAGAAGAGACAAGAACATCCTGTAAAGATGAAATTATGAAAGCCATTGGAAAGAAGTTGGACCGCTACAAGAATCCATGGCTAGAGTTGGGGATACAGTATACAAACAAATCTATAGTCAACGGATCGACATTCTAGAAGAAGAAGAGAGAGAAGAAGAAATCTAGAAATGACACATCAACAAAAATATTTAACGGTTAACTCACTATATATATATGGGTTAATGATTGATGTAAAATTACCCATTTTCTTAAACTTCCAAGGTAATAATTTTTTTTTTTGGTCAGAACTTCCAAGGTAACATCGATCCATGCTAAAGATTTAAAATATCAAATGCCTCCCACAAAAAAGTTTCAAGATATTTTTATTTTTTAATTCATTAAAATATATAAGATATTATTAATTAAATTTCATCTCTCAATAAAGTAGTTAATTATTTTCAAACTAGCATCATCTTTTTATATTTAGTCCTATTTAAATAAATATAAAGTAATTTATTTATTAAAGATACTTTTGAAAAAAATACAGTAATTATATTTTCAAATACTAAAAATATCTTATATTTTTTAACATCTAATTTTTCAAAAAATATCTTTCAATTTTTAACAGAATGGATACTTAAGATACTTGTACTAAGTTCCAATTAAATCAAAACATGTAGCTCTTTTATAAATAAGTAAAACTTATGTACTTAGCTTATATACTTAATATATTTTTATTCAATTAAATCATAATAAGTGAATTTTAATATATATATATATATTAATGATATTAATGATAAGAAATTATTATAAACTAATTCACTTTTCTTATTGAATAAAGCATATTAAATATACAAGGCTCATTAACTAGCTAAATCTTACCCAAAATTATATATATGATAACTTATTTGAAGTTATGCTGCTAAAGAAGTTGAGGCCACATACCACAAAAAAGGTTTATATATAATCCCATTTATTAAATGGTTATATAGAAAACAGTTATATAAATATAAGCGTGAATTTGAAAACCTTTATTAAAAGGTTAAATTCAAAACTGTTTAATAGTTCAAGCAATTATTTAACAGTTAAATAATGATTGAGTAATTTTTTAACTTTTAAATTTTTAAAAAATTTAAAAACTATTAAATGATTGTCCCTACAGAATTCTTTAGTAGTTTAAATAGAAAATTGTTGAGTATTTATTTTTAAAAATTAAAAAGACCCTCCATAATTGTTTAAATCTAATGGTGGTTGTTGGAAAAATTGTTAATAAAGACTTAACCAAATTTAAGTTTGTTGAAAAGGACTTAAGAGAAATTCAAAAGTGAGATCTTTCGCTGGCATTAATTCAAAGTATCAAATGACCATAATGTCCTGACCAAATTTTCTCCTCTCTTGATCTCTTCTCTTCATGCCTATTGTGATCCTGAAAACTTCCTCTTCTCTCCTTAGTCCTTAGTCCTTCATCTCCTCCTTCATACTTGATTATTCATCTCCATCCTCATCTCCTTCTTCTTCCTCTTTGAATTTGTGCGGAAGTCAAAGAGCAAAAATGGCATATCAATGACGTCTAGGTTTTCTCTAAAAGCAAAAGGCAAGAAGTCTAATGTTGTAACTGCAGGCCTTGATGGTTTCACAGATCACTTGGTCGAAAAATCTCTTCTCTTAGAGCTCATTAGCGTCCAGCTTGGTCCTAGTAACTGCATTTTCATGTAATCGCACAGATCTTTTAAAGTAAAAGTTTCGTATATTTTTTGAATTCGTAAAATTCAGATTAAGCATACTTTAAGAAACTTCCTAGATTATTCTCTCAGAGTATCATATCTTTCATTAATGAAAATTTTGGATTTAATTTTTTTGCACTGAATGATTCAAGAGACAAAGTCATGTAAGCGAAAAAAATGGAAATTAGACAGTGGTTTCCACTAGGCATCTCTAACTTGTTTCTCAAAAAGAAAAGCAAATTAGAATTCAAGCATAGCTCGAGCTACATATCTTAAACTTTTCTTTAGACGAAGTCATGGTTCAAGCATAGCTGCAATTTTTGTTCAGCTTGTTTCCTAGAAAAAAGCAAATTAGATAGTGGTTTCCAGTAGATATCTTAAACTTGAGAGTATACTCTATTTTTTTAATAATAGATTATATGCTGATTTAACTATTAGACAAAACATATCTTTCCTAGTGGAACAAGATTAACTTGATCAATGGTCTTGAGTTGTTAGTGTTTCACATCTAAATATAACTATTTGTGCATGCTGGTTTGCAGAGATTTGAACTTCAATAACATCATGGGACAGATTCAAAGGTCACTTTTCAATGTGAGTTTATTATTATACTTGTGATATATATGCCATACCTAAGTAATTAAATTATTTGATCATCTCTCATGCTTTAATAATTAGATTAAAGCATGATTTTCCTTTCTCTAATTTCAGGCTTCTTGGAAATTATCGGGCAATATCCTTTGGGGTACTCTATGGAAACGTTTTTCTCATTTCTTAACTCAAGTTTCCCAAGAAGTATAGTAGTATTCTATTTTTGTCCAACTTTTATACTTCCTACATCTTTAAGCTCAAATTAAACTTTTCTCTACTCATGTGTTAGTTGAGATCACATGTTTTTTTTTTTTGTTTGCATGTAATCCCTTCCACTTGCCTCTTTTGTCGGTATGAAAATTTCTACAAATTAGTTAGTGATGAGTCTTTACATGTCCTTTATGAATTGCTTACAAGTATAATCATTGTAGCTTCAAACAATATGCTTACAAGTCACTGGAGTGCAATCTCAAGAAGATGGTACCAAAGGATCAAATGATGAAATCAAAAGGAGTTGATCGATTCGCAGTCATGCAAATTGCTTGGCGATGTAGAATCCTTGGTCCAATTAAAGTAAATGAATGATTTGTTGGAGAACAATCTAAAGGCTTTGAAGAATGAACACTGCACTACTTATATCTTTATTTGTAGTTGATTATGTATTTTATCTTATCATAATGTAATTATTATGTATTTTCCTATTAAAATGTAGTTTATTTTGTTAAGATATGTAAGAACATGTTATTGTGTAATGATAAATGAATTTTTGAATTCAATTTGTTGCTCCAAGTATTATCTTGCTTATTATAAGTATGATACTATCTGAATATACATTTGAGGATCCCATTGAAGTTGTTTAGTATGAGTTGTTTCATATTTCATAAGTTTCACTGTGTTTATAGAATAACCATTTGCATATTTGACATGTTGAGAGTTAAGACTAATTAATTGTAATTGCTGCAAAATCCATATAAGATATAAAATTCTTGTATTAATTCAATGTTAATAAACTTATTCATCAATTTATAGGCTATAATCCTCTTCAATATTTTTTCATGCTTAATCTTCCAAGGATATATATTTTTTAGAATATCCATATGTATTTTTATGAAAAACAAGGAAGTTTTTAGAATAATTATTTGCATTTTTCAAAATATCTATAAGTGTTTTCATGAAAAATGAGTAAATTTTTAGCATAACTATTTTTTAGAAGATAATTGCATCCCATTAAGATGTTTGCAAATAAGGGAGAAGACTAATTGCATATTATTCAAGTCATATACACCCATAAGAAAATGGCCCTTTTAGGAAGATCTATTATATAAGACAACTAATTATTTACATATATGAAAGACTTTTGCATATGAGGAGAGTCTACTTCATATATGGAAGACCTTCTATATATGTGTGGAAGCATTCTCGTTTAATAGAAAATAATTGCATTTCATTGAAAATGACTACATATAAGGGAAGACCAGTTGTATATCCTCAACGCCATTTGCACCTATAACAAAATGGACACTTAAGAAAGATTGTTGCATATGATGACTAATTACTTGCATATATAAAAAACTTTTACACATGAAGGGAGCTTACTGTGTATATGAAAGACCTTTTGTATATGCGGATGTATGGAAGAAAATTATATTTTGTTAATGATTAGTCACATATCGTGGAAGATAGGTTGCATATGTTTTTAAAGGTATCTATAAGAAAATTAGTAAGGGATATTCAAATATGCATTAGTGATATTTGAATCTATGAAAGAAAATTACATTTCATTAAAGATAAGTTGCATATCATACAGACAAGTTGCATATGTTTTGTTGAAGATGATTTCCATATATCATGGAAGAAACATTGTATATGACATGTTGACACCGAAAGACCTCATGCTTTAGAGCTTAATAAGTTGACACCAAAGGATCTTGTTTCATATATTGACATCAAAGGACATTGTGTTACATATTGACATTTAATTATTGATAGCCAAGGACCTTGTGCAACATATTGACAATGAATGACCTAGCTCAATTTTTGTTTTTTAATCATTTAGGGCATTATGTCATTTAACCTTCACCAATTATTGACAGCAAATGACATTTTTTTTCCAAAACAATCCCAAGTCCTTCTTTGCAATTAGATTTCTGCTGGAGTTTTTTTAGCAATTTCCCCCTTTGTTTTGCTACAAACACAAGCCTCAACTCTTCTTCCACTTCCTTCCCACCCTTAAATCCTCTCTAGTAGTGTGAACTCTGAAGGTCGACCCTCTAGCAGCCTCCTGATCATATCGTTACTTTCTGATTCTGCCATCCGCGTTCTTCGACTAGTCGTGCAACGAAGTCCCTAGCTGTGCCATCATTCACAGTACTGTTGATTTCGTAAAGCTGCTCTCTAGAGATATTCTGTTTTCAAAACCAAGTCCTATCGAGTTGAAAGGAAGTATTGCTTGATAAAGCATTTTGAGTAGATTATATTCACAAACTTTTTTTTTATATATTTTGATTGGGTTGGATAATTTAGGGAATGTTGTCGATTGAGAATTTCTTTATGATTTGGATAGTTAATTTTTGCAACACCAACTTAATGTCTGGTCATCGAATTCTTGTACATAAGTCTTTTTGTGGGATGTTAAAAGCAGTGAGGAGATTAAGTGAATAGTTTTACAACCCCCTCTACAAGCCCGTCTTCATCTTGTTGATTCCTCTATAAACCCTTGTTTTGTTAAAAAAAAGTTTCAAATATTAATCAGTTATTAAAAATAACCGATAAATCAGCCCCACTTATTCAACAATTGTCCAATAGAACCATTAAATAAATTTCCCTTATTCAACAGTCATTTGAAAAAAATCATTTTATATACCCTTTTACTAAACAGTTAAAAATTGTTGAGTAAAGGTTTGGGGAATATACACAGCCACTTTGTTTAACGATTAAAAACTATTTAGTATAGCTAACAATAACCGTTTAATAAATTCTTTTTTTGTTGTAACGCCAAATGTAAAGCACTAATACTTCAAATTACTTCACATATTCATATTAATATTATATTTGATATCAATATTTGTTGATACTTCTTTGATACGTATTTGTAAAGTATCAAAATATTATTTTTTAATTTAAAAAAATTAATTTTTGATACATATATAATACTTTTATATTACAAGTAGATGCTTCAAAGAAACAAGTTTCTTGTGCAGCATTACTCTTCATCACGTTGTGAAAGGAATTAGAGGAATTGTGAAGGGAAAAGTCTCTGATCACTTTTGTTTGGTTATATATCTGCATGCAAGCCCTACATCGCTATACAAAATATATTTTGCAGCCATTTATTTTATATAGTGGCTAATTATTTTTAAAGCAAATTAAAGAATTTTGAAATAGCTCTTTATTATATTATATTTAGACCTATAGTTATCATCATTATATAAATCTACTCGATGTCAAAGTTATATATATATATATATATATAGCTAGCAAGCGGCATGTTCCTTATAAAGTAGATTTCTCAAACACTTGTGAAGTGCAATCACACCAATACAATGCATACGTGCATTAAGCAGGATTTACACATATATATACTCCCCACAAATTATTTAGTTTAGTTCACACACACAGAGATATAAAATAATATAATTAACATGAATTATAATTAACTTATTGATGAGATCCGACCCGCTTCATATCTTGGCCCAAGGTTGGAGCCCCACTTCCTTAATTACTCCGAACCGCCTTTGTTAGGACTCCCACCTTTTACACCACCAACACCGCCTTCCACATGGCCATGCCGACTTCTCGCCACGACCTTAAAGTCACTATCTCCACCTCCGCCGCCGCCTCCTCCTCCTCCGCCGCCGCCTCTATTTCCTCCCCCTCCACCACCACCACCTCCTCCTCCTCCACCTCCACCGAACCGCGAGCCATACCGATTTTGACAATCAACAGCTACAACTCCTTCACCATATCCATTACCAGTGCAGGGCGTCCCCCTGCGAGCTGAGGATAATCGACGACGACGGCAGGATCCACCGACGGAGGATGACGATGTCGACCAACTGTAGCCGGTGCCAGACAACGATGACGATCCAATGGCACTCGATGATGGTGATCGTTGGGATGACCTAGCTGCAAATGCCAAGTCCAGAATCACCATCAGCAAAGCAATGAACAACAACGAACCTACGACTTTGGAGCTGGCCATCTCAATTCTCAAAGCGAAAAGCTCAAAGCACTCGATCGAGGCACTACGAAATGCATGAGTTTCATATATATAGGAGACTTTAAGTCTAGTTTTTCCTCTTTACAGAAAAAAAATTCAGATTTAAGAATTGGTCATGAGCTTCTTCAACACAATCTATCATACGAGTAAATTTTCTTTTGGAATGATAGATATTAAGAGACATGATCGACTCCGTTAACAGTTTTGTCTATGTCAATCATTTCTCTATATAGTCATTATATAGCTAAATGACGAGTGAGTTGAAATTATAGATAATATAATATTGTAGGATCTTTCTTTTGATATATCACCTACCGCTACGTACAATACTGTTCATCGTCAGAATATGAGAGAAAGGTGGACGTCGGTGTGCTTGTGCTTCTGAGTTCTGTTGAGGCTGGTGATACGTGGTCGTCAATAAATTTCTATTTGTACATGACATTCCCATGTAGTTATAAAACTAAACAAATACCTCTCTTATTAGTAAACTTTTTTTTCCCGGTGGACGTAGATTTTTTTTTTTAATTGCAGGTGGATGTAGAAAATTAATTAATAGTAGATGAGTTGATGATTTGTCATAATTATATATATATATGGAAATAAAAGTGTAATATTAATTTGACACGGATCAATCATTGCAAAAATTAGAATTATGATGGATATATAGTTGTTTCATCTAATTTTAAACCAAAAATGTTCATTTTATAATATATCGAAGCACTTTTAGTAATTTTATTGTCGTTGGTAAATTATTTTTAAAAAATACTTTAAACAATCAAATCATAAAATTTGGAAAAAGACTACGCCTATGAAAGTTGACTTGACAACTAATTAAACGGTAAAAATTAGACAAATCCATATGCATTGAGTCAAAATTATAGAAACTGAATGATTAACTTTATCACAAGAATAAAATACATGATTAATTTACTTAATTTTAATTTGCCTTACTATATTTATTATATCAAAAGACGTGTGACGTGAAAACAATAAGGTTATAAGAGGTTATGAATATGATATCATCAATTTGCCTTCTCTTTTTTTCATTTCTCACAAATATCCTTTTATTGAAATCAATCTTATTCAAGACATAGTTGGGGTATTAGTCAATTTTCCTTTTTTAATCCATAATTTCAAGGAAATAGTTTCCCTACTCATCTCAAGGATGAGCACCATCCTTGGAATGAGATCTGGATCATCCAAATTTTAATATGGATGGTTCATATTTAAAGTATCATTATTATATTATATTTATTTAAATAAAAATTTATAAAATAATTTCAATAATTTTTTTTATTTTTGATATAGTCTAGATTTAATTTAGAGGGTTTAATTTAATATTAAAAGATATACTCTGCACAATTTAGGACTGTATAGAATACATGTGGATAATTAATATATACATCAATTATAAAAATTTTAATATTAACTTGGACCCTGTCAATTAAATCTAGACCATATTAAAAATAAAAAATTTATTGAAATTATTTTATAATTTTTATAATTTTTTCTTTTAATAAATATAATATATAATAATACTTTATACAAATTTAATCTGGACTATCGAGATTAAAGTCTAAATGGTTCAAATTTCATATCAAGAATGAGTATATGATGGTCATCTTTGGGATGAGCATGGAAACTGGACACTTTAATTTCAAAACCTCTATTTGCGATGTGAATGAATAAATGTCATCAAATCATACCTAAAATGGGAGAAATTGCAATAAAGTCTCAAAAGAGGAGAATAATAACAAGTAGATCCCTCACAAAAATTCCTGAAAAATGAATTGCAAATATTGATTATGATAAATATAAACAAGAATTTCAATGATTATAAAATTTAGAATTATAACTAGATTTTTTCTCGTGCATTGCATAGGTTAGAATTAAAAATTTAAAATAAATATAATTGATACCATTAATATAGACACATGTGAGATTGTCATATTTTCGAATGTTCTTCTATTTACCATTTTTTTCTTGGATATTTGATTTGTTAATATTTTATCTTTGTTTCTTGACTCTATAGTTAGTTATAGGTAGGGTTAGAAAATGTGTAATCTTTGACCCTAATTTGGTTGGCTTTTCTAAAATCCCCACATTGAAGGGTCAATTATATTAGATGCATCAAAGTTAAGAGAGGAAGATGTAGTTGATAATCAAATCAAAATTATAAATTGGACTTGGCAACTGACATTTTAAATTGTAAAAAGATACCAAATCAAAATTCAAGAATTGACTTTCAATTGAATCAAAATTATAAAAATTAAGCTGTATCAAATTAAAATTTATAGATTAAATTTAAATAGAGTGAAACCTACATAGATTGAATGATAAATTCTTTTAAGATAAAATACAAGGCGATCAATTTATTTAATTTTGCCTTACTATTTATTAAATCAAAAGACAGATGACCTGACAATGATCAGGTTATTATAATCACTATATATTAAGATACATAGATGTTATGATATTGTCAGTTTTCCTTCTCCGATCCATAGTTTCAGAACCTCTAGCTAGCCTGCTAGCTCGCCACAATGTGAATGTCAAATTATAATAATTCAGATTGTACTTAATATATTAATTAAACATCTCATTTAGTACATCCTCATCGATTCCCAGCACGCACACATGCATGCACCACTTACATACAGTCAACAATAAATTAACAATTTCCAGAAGGAAAAATCTAAAAGAGAAGCCCGGCTAATGAAAATTAGAGAAAAATCAGTTAAATCTGAAAAGATAAAAAACTCGTCATTTCGTTTAATTTTCGATCGGACGATTAATTAATAATTAACCATGGCTTCTCTCTATATCGCTGGAACCATGTTGAATTGGTCACACCTTTGCCTTACTTCACCGTCTTTCCCTGTCTTCACTCCAAACACTTCCAGCTTTTCCATGGCCTTTGTGAAATCCTGAAAGAACGCATTCTCATCTTTCGCGTACTGTTCAACAATCGGCTTCGTCCTCGGATCTCTTCCCAGAAGCGAATCTGAGCTCAGAAGTCCTAATCCATGCAACACGTTCTGGTAATACGCGTTATCAAACTTGCTCGGAGATCTCATGTCGTTGAACGCCGACATCGACGGGTCTTTCGTGTAGTTCGCGCACAGCTTCTTCAATCCTTCCACCAGTTTCGGGTTCATCGTCGGGTCCACCTGGGAGGTTTTACTGAAATGGAAGATCCGGTGAGCGAACTCCTTGCAATGGGTGAATCCGAAGGTGTGGCCGCCGGTGAGAGCCACCATTTCTCGGACTGTGAAGTTCTTCGACGTGAACTTCTTGATGATCTTGTCCATGGTGAAATCCGGCCTTGGCAGAGCAGCTTCGACCTTGGAAGCGTTCGATGAGAGACTGTCTTTACGTCCTAACGGCACAGTGTAAAACGGCCCTCCGACCATCTTGATCAGATCTCGGGTCGATTGCGCGATGATGTCGGCGCAGGAGACGACGCCAGGACAGGTGAGCTCGAGGGCGTTCTTGATCTTGAGGATGAGGTCGAAGGCTTCGGCGGAGAGTGAGAGGTTGAGATCGGCGTCGCGCTCGGCCTTCATGTAACCGTTGGAGCTGATGAGGATGGAGGCATCGCAGCCGTCGGTGATGCAGTCGTGGAAGAAGAGGCGGAGGACGCCGGGGGCGGTGGATGGAGTGGTGGATTGTTTGGAGTACACAAGTTCTGCGACGGTTTGCTGGAATTTAGGGCATGTCGTCTTGTAATAATCAAGAGAAAGGTGATCGGGTGAAGCTGATGATGAGAAAGGAATGGTAATGAGGAAGGAGAGGAAAAGAAGCGGGAAAGCCATGGAAGATATATTCTAGGGTTTCTGTGAAAGGAAGACACAGAAATGAGAGAGAGAGGGATATCATAAGAGGAAGAAGAAGATGGTGAATGATAAGAATGGAACAAGCTTCTTGCTTCTTCCTCTTTGGGGTTAGTTTCAGAAGCCAATGATGAGAAGCAAGAGAGGAAGGGAGGGGAAGGGAATTAGATCAGAAAATGCGTTTGATTATTCCATAGTGTTGGAGGAGAGGGATTTGAGGGGAGGTTTGTTTGTTTGTTTTTTTTTTTTTGGATTTTTTTTTTTTGCGTTTCATTTTTGAGGAGGATGATTTATGAGATTTTCTTTCTATTTTTGCATGGTCAAACTTTCTCCACAAAAAATCTTTTCCAAATTGTACAGCGTGTTTGTCTTGGATAATTTGAATAACGGAAAATAATCTACAAGTGCCTATAATTTTACTTAATTTTAAATTAAGTCTTTATAATTTATTTTATTTTAATCAAACTCTTATAATTTAATCAATTAAATATGTTAGTCTTTGGTTGTTGAAATTATTTAAGTTTTTTTGAAATGAAATTAAGGACTTCTATATGTTTATTAAAAGAGAATATAATTTTCATAAAAAATTAAGAAAATTATAAATATTACATTAAATAAAATTTTTTTGCCTAAAAATAATAAATCAAATTTTTAATAATTTTTAAAGTATTTTTATTTTGAAAAGTCAATCATTCATTAATAATTTTAATCTAAGAAACTAACATATTTAATTGATTAAATTATAAGGATTTAATCACAACAAAAAAAATTACAGAAACTTTGTTCAAATTAAAATTGAAAAAATTCAGAAGGGCATGCAGATTAATTTTTTTTAAATAACATAGCTTAACACGTGTTAATTTGTTGTGGTGTTTGAAGTTGTCCTTTAATCTTGAGGCAGCATCTAAACGTGAAAAAAATTATATCTAGGTGTCATATAAAAAAATTTATCATTAAAAAGTCCCATAAAATTTACAAAATTTATTTTCATGAGACCTTTTGATAATAAATTTTTTTTGTAGGGTCTAGATGTAATTTAATGATCCAAAGCATCCAAATAATCCTCTATAGGATACAAATCTATATTTAAAAAAGGGAAGATGACAACAAACCTCCTAAAAATATTAATATTACATTAGGATTTTTAAAGACTTTCAGTACTGAAATAAAATGGCTGAATTTGGGAATGAGATCTTGAATTTTTTTATTAATAATTTTCTTACAAAGTCTTTGTTATTCTTCCTTTCGAAAATTATTATGGAGTACATAATTGTTACATAATACTCTGGTTCCTAGACGCAGAACCTAGTTGGGAGGTTTTGATCTTAAACATAAGATATATCAATTTTTTTTATCTCCCATACTAATTATATTTTAATCAAACTATATCCATAGTTAGATTATTGTATGATATATAAGTTATGTTAATAATCCTCTAATATAAATGATTAAAAAGCAGAGATATTTTTTCTAAAACAAAGTAGCATACAATTTTCTACAAATAATTAGCCTAAATTTTCTTTGTCTTTTTTATTCTATTATTCGCCGTCTTGAAAAACTTTGGATATTAACATCTTTAGTTCAAACTAATTTAAACCGAACCTATCATTTTATAGGACCATTATTACTAGCAAGTAATTTATGAATGTCTCAAAAACATCATTGGCCTTGTATTAGGAATCACAAGAAATAATTTTAATTATAATTATATAAGGATTAAAGAGAGTATTGTATAATTATTGTATAGAAAAAAATATAAATACTTATATACTTGACAACAAAAGCATAACATAATCAAGGCCTTTATAATTTCATTATCTTATTTAATATTTACTCCTTGTTCAATATTATAATACAATTTTTTAAATTATTATATTAAAAAATATAAGGGATTTTATGTTTTTCAAGATACAATTAATAATTTTTTTCAAATACTTTCAATTATAAGTATAATTAATAAAAAACTTTAACTATTAAATAAGAGAAAATATAAAAATATAATTTTAAAAATAATTAATTTATTTATTGTAATGTGACATAATTAAAAGTGCTTTATATAAATGAATGGAGGATGATATTGGATAAGAAACAAGAAACTCTTTTAATATATACTTCTTTTGTCTTATTTATATGATCTTTTAAAAGTAAATTTTAATTCAAAATATAAGAATACATTATAATAATTAAATTATTTTTTAAATTTTATCTTTTTTGATTGGTGCAAAAGTATTTATTTTAGTTATATCATGATTTAAAATCAAAGATAAAAATAAAAATATATATTATTTTTTACAATATAAAAAAATAATTTTTTAACTAGATATAAAAAGAAGTGTCTGTAATAAAAAAACACAAAGTACATATTATTATCATTTTTTCTTTTGGGCCAATAAACAACCTGTATTATTGAACGTATTGATCTCGTTGATTTCTGCGCGCACTCAGGTTCAACGGACAGCTTAGACACCATTTCGGTACACCATCGGCGTCTGTAGCTGTTCGCCTGGTCTTGTCCAAATCCACCCCACTACGCTCTTGCCTTTTTGGTGAGAGATCTTGACGGTGGTTCTTGATTCTTTGCTTGAGTTGGGGATTTGCCACCGGCCAATCTCTTCCCATTTCCGGTGCAGATCCAAATCTGCTCCTGACTTCGCAAGATCTTACGTTTCTTCCACTGCTCCGATAATCAGGTTCCTCTACTTTTTTTCCCGTATAATTATGAGTTTCTTCTTCATACGCTGTCTTTGTTGGTGAGAAAAATTCTGCTCTTTTGCTAGAGTGAGATGGGAAGCGTGTAATTTTGAGGATCCATGTTAATGTAAAGTGACTTTTATCATAAGAGAGTTGGAACATTTCCGTGGTGGGTTTGATTTGGAAGCAGATTTGCAATCGCTGAAACTTCAGGTTGCTATTAGCTGTGCCAATGCTTTGTCAAATAGTTGACTCAAATGATCAAATTTAGATCAATAATTTGAACTACTTGGGTTAGAGAAATTTACTAGGATTCCTAATTTTCTGAAATTTTGTTATATTTGAAATTCTTCATAATTTATAGTGTCAGAGCTGACTATCTAGAACTGATGCAACTTGAAAGACAGGCTTCTACGTAGGGATCCAAAATGAAGTTCATGGAATGAGTACATGAGGACAGTCCTTTTGTTTAGTACCTTTCTCCCCAATACATAATTTAAAAAATTACTATTGTCCGGTTTTGAGCTCTGAGAAATTAGAGGAAGCAAAGTTTACGCTGTATGTCCCAATTAAACTGTTCAAAAGCTTAATTTGTCTTATGACAAGCGCAGTAGTAGATTTGCATTTCTAATTTTTGTGGAAACAGTAGTTGTCTCTGGACATGTATTCCTTGTCTACGCATCTAATATGTGAGTTCTGAAAAACCGTTAGAATTCTTAAATGCCTAACAGTTTCTATCTTCAGCACATTGTAAGCCTTATTATCATTATGCTGATTGGACAAAATTCAGCAAAATCAATTCTATACCTTGGGGCTTGTAATGAGATTTTTTACTGGCATCTAGCTTTTTCCATAATATCATTTGTCCTTATTTTTAAATGTTATTTGGACATTGCCTTGCCGTCACATAAAATAAATAGATGTGCGAGGTTGCTGAGTCAATCTTTAACATAAGTCATTTGTATTTATTCCTTACCTACCTCTAGAATATTTCATGTCAGCATCCTCATTGTGCCATTGAGATTTTTGTATCCATATAGCAGTGTTGTTTCTTGAGACCGTTCAATTATTTGTTTCATTCTGAGGTTATCCCCTATCTTTTCCAGTCTGGAATCCGTCCACCATCTGTTTATATTATAAATATTTGTTACATTTAGTTTGCTTGTTTCTTTCTTTCTTTTCTTAATATCTGCAAAGACAAGATGCTTGTGACCATTGTCTTGTCTAGTCCTGGTTGATGTGAAAGTTATCATATAATCTCAAATGATACTTGAAGTATTTGTTACTGGGGTAATTGTACAGGAGAACAAGGAACATATGGATATCAACAACTGGCTCAAGGATCTGACATATGATGAGTGGGTAGTAGTCCCCATATCTGGTGCCCGTCCATCTGCTCGCTACAAGGTCTGTGCGTGTGTGTGAGGAATAAGCAATTTACAATGTGAGGAAGTACAGTTTAACCCTGTTGTTTTTCACCTTATTCAGTCTTTTTCCTTTCTTTTGATTTAATAGTCAAAGAATTTTTATTCATGGAAGAAAGCTTGAAAATAATGATGAGTGACAAGTTATACTCCTTGACAAATGCATTTAAAATTAATCGCATTGGATCTTGAACCACCTTAATTTTGCTAATTACATTTAACTGTAAAGGGTCCTCATTCATTCTTGTCTATATATAGCTGAAGTCCCTGCTTACATTGTCCCCAGATACTGAATTTAGTCTATGGTTTGTCTTCTAATTCCAGCAAGCTGCAGCAGTGGTTGATGATAAGCTATACATTTCTGGTGGAAGTCGTAATGGTCGGAATTTATCAGATGTTCAGGTATAGTTTATGCTTGAGACACTTTTCTGAACCTTAGACTCTTTCTATTGCTTCAGGGTTCATGTGGCTATTTGCAGGTTTTTGACCTCAGAAATTTGACATGGTCCAATCTTAAATTAAATCTGATTGCTGATAAAGATAGTGGCAGTAGCTCACTGGAGGTTCTTCCAGTAGCTCACTGGAGGTTCTTCCAGCTTTATATTGTTACATCTGGTCACAATATGATTGCTGATAAAGATAATTAGCTCACTGGAGGTTCTTCCAGCCACATCTGGTCACAATCGCAACTTTTCTATCTCTATGTATATACTTTATATTGTTATTTGTTTTCTGTCACCGATGGATTAAACATGAGTTTCAGTAACTACCTATGCATTTGATTTATTCTGATAGAGGATTGGAATTTATTTGTGATTTTCCAGATCAGGTGGGGGAAGAAACTTCTTCTTCTTGGTGGCAATTTAAAGGATTCTTCTGGCAAATTAATGGGTTTGTGTCTGTGCAATGTTTTTCATAATTAGTGGAAAATGTTTTGTATTGAAACTCAATGTATCGTGGACTTCTTGCAGTTCATTACATTGATCTTGAAACATCCCTGTATGGTGTTATCGAGACTTCAGGAAGTGTTCCAGT